TGTTTCTTTCGAAATGGTGAATTATTGCATGATACCGGGATGTGCAGTCAGAACATATGCGGTGCGAAACTAGGATGGTTCACAACACAAACGTCCGTGTCCTCGTCTGATTCAGAGATTTCGTCCAGGAGAAATTGGCATCATTAAAATTCTTTGCAGCAGACGGACTCTATCTCTGTGTCCGTAGGCGAACAGTGAGAGCACAGGCACCACCAGTCCGGGCCAGTCCGGGCTCCTCGTCCGCGACAGGCAGCCGCCTCATGTTCCTCCATCAGCCTCAGCTGCTCTTCGCTATATTGCGGCTTGTAAAAGTAGCCACGAACAATGATTCGAGCATCAGACTTTCGAAATCCTCTTCTTCCATATCATATTGAGTACATTTCGCCATTGTCGTAACTTTACATCTGGCTCCACAGCGCCTGTTAGCTTAGCTTCCAAACAAGATGGAGGATATTGCTTTTAGTTTCAGAAAGTGAGGTCCCACCCACTGATCTGTAATAGGTCTGTAGCGTGAGTGGGTCCCACCCCCTGGGAAAATAAGGAACGAGTGTTTATAGTCTCAACCCCTCTACCAAGATATGGGACTTCCTGCTGAGAAAGACGCAAAATGACGATTTTTACATCATTATAAGCAGGAACTGCAACACTGAAATCCTTATTTCTCCGGTCTCCGGGAAAAATGAAGGAATAATGAACGACCATTCAAAAATATAACTGGGTTTCTAACGATACAAAGCTTAAAGCAAATGGGTGAAGTGTCCCTTTAATTAAAAGAGACAGTAAATACATTTATAATATCACAATTTAGGGCTGGGCCATATGGCCAAAAAAATTATCACAATAACATTTTTCATATCCGTCGATTTTGATAATTATCACGAAAATTTTAAAATCTTTATTTCTTTCAAGTTTTAAGGCATTTTTGCTGTTTTTGAAGTTGTAGAAAACAGACCATTAATTGTGGTTTTAAACTAATATTTATTGTCAGAACATGACAAAGACTTCACTTTTTTATGCATTCTTTACACTTTTCCAGGCATTCTTCCTTAAAGGTGCATTGCGCACCTCTCTGAGTTTTTGCAGAACTATGCCCCCTCTGGCGACAAGCGAAACTGCCTTACTGTCTTTGTCTTGCGTGGAGTTTGCGTTGGGGTTTATGAACTACAAGCCGGTCTCTTTAAATCCATCTTCTACTTTTGTCGAAAGTTGACTGAAGTTTTGTCACTCGAGTTGTCTTCGCTAATACGGAGAATGGCGGCGAATACACAAACCTGCCAGACATAGCCAGGGGAGCGTGAACGCGCATGACGTCACGCCCAGTCTCACGTTCCGGCCCGAATCCCTCTTATTTATTTTACTGTACAGGATTATAGAGGCAATCGCAGTGATCAGAGAAGGGCTCATTCAGCCCATCAGGCAATTGTTTAAGCCTACGTGTGACGTTTACATTTACATTTACATTTAGCTGACGCTTTTATCCAAAGCGACTTACAATTGCTATATTTCAGAGGTCGCACGCCTCTGGAGCAATTAGGGGTTAAGTGTCTTGCTCAGGGACACATTGATGTCTCACAGTGGATTCGAACCCAGGTCTCTCACACCAAAGGCATGTTTCTTATCCACTGCGCCACACCACCGCCACAACCTAGAAGCTTTGCGTAGTTTCACTACGTGAAATATCACGGCCGAACAGAGAAGGAAATGATTAGTTGAATAAAGTCGTTATTTTTGTTTGTTTTTTGCGCACAAAAAGTATTCTCGTCGCTTGATAAACGTAAGATTGAGCCACTGTAGTCACTCGGACTATTTTAACGAAGTCTTTCATAACTTTTGGGCCGGTCAGTTTCGATCCCTTAAGAAGCCTATAGAGGAGTGATCCAGCTCTCAGATTTAATCAAAAATATCTTAATTTGTGTTGCGAAGATGAACGAAAGTCTTACGGGGTTGGAACAACATGAGGGTGAGTAATTACTGACAGAATTTTCATTTTTGGGTGAACTAACCCTTTAAGACTAATTTAATATGTTTAACATTGTGAAATTTCTTTAAGCCAGGTTTACCGCATTCATTCAAGCTATTTTAAAAGACTGGAATGGCAGACTGTGATGCGCTTCCACAGTTATCAACTTCACAAATCTAGTGATGTTTTCTTTAATCATTTAGCACTCCTGCGTGAGTGTTTCTAATGCAATGGCTGACGGCAAACATTCTGCCTTTTTGACTGCTGTAATCAGCCCTCTTTTGGAATTCCGTGGAAACACTATCATGGATTTTTTTGTTTTGTTATTGGAGCAAATTGGAATACAAAAATTAGGAGATGAGCACTAGGCTGCTGCAGGTTAGTAGGAAAATATATAATTCAGAATGCATATTTGGAAAATAAAATATTTAATTTCAGCAGGTTCAATATAATTCATGTTAACACAGAGCACATGATTCACTGTTTTAATACACTCACAGCCTTAAAACATATAATAATCTCCATTCTCACGAGTAACTGTCTGTGGTGTGCTGAACACTGCTATTGGAAACATCTGAGCCGTAATTAGTAGAAAGCAGAAGTAGTTGTTGTGCAAGTAGTCCATTATATATTCTGAAGCCAAAAAAGTTTAAGGAACATAAATATTAGAGACATGATATCAAAACATAACATTTCAAGTTTAATTAGAACTACTTGATCATTTTTAGTAATGTAAAAGCAGGCTTTTTAATAAATGCAGTCATTGTCTAAGGACCTGTAGGGGTTTCTAAAGCAGAAGAGAGTTTGTGAGTCTGGCAAGAGAGCAAGGATGTTTTTGCCAGAGAGGTAATCAGTGGACAGGTACACTTTCCACTTACATGACCTTGTGAGAAGCGAGGCCTCGGCGAGATCTGTTTTGAAGCCCCTGTCCGATTCCCTCAGCTTTAATAAAACATGTGCGAGCACGCAGCAAGAAAACGCTTTGAGTCGCGGATACTGTAAAAACCTTGTCTGTCAGAGAGATAACAGGGTAGCTCTGGCGTAGTGCTAATTGGCCATTGCGTTCCTATATGCAAAGAATATTTATCACTTCTGACAGGGCTTGAGAACATTTCTCTTTTTTTCCACTTGAACAGTTTTGCCCTTTGCAAACTATGAGCTTTATCAGTGCATTTGAAGATGCACAGTGTGATAATGAGTTTTGGAAACATGAGGAAATGTTAGCCAGTGTTCCTTTGGGGTATGATGTTTAAAACTGCTTAACATGTACACACTGGTTGACACACACACTCATTACAGATAAAGGGGGACTCTGGGAGCCAAAATGTTGTAGCCTATTTGAATGAATTTCTATTTGACCAAGCTATGAAATATTTCCCATGCTTTGCTCTGTTTAACAGCAACATTATGCAATTGTGTTACAGCATACATGGTATTTGTATCTCCATCCCTGTCACTTTGGCGTTATTCTGCATCATATGAATAGGACAAGTGGATTGCCCATGAACAAAAAAATACAAAAACATATTTAATACACATATTTAAACATAACTAATACACTGGTTGCACTGTATGTTATTGTTTCACTAAAAAGAATCAGCTCATAAGAGTTAAACATTTCCCTTTGTTTGGAAATTGGACTACACTGTCATGCTCTATATTGATTCACAAAAAAAGGGGGTCTTAAGAGTCATTTGGTCAGGAATCTTTCAGCACTGATTGCGCTGAGTGTTTCTGAATCACGAAAAAGAACAGAATATAATAATAAATAAATAAAATAATTTGTTACATTTACTGTATATAACGCTTTTTCTGGGTACTCAAAGCGCTTTACATGGAAGGGGGGGATCTCCTCAAATATATATAGTTCAAAGTATTCATGGTTTCAGGAATCAGACTACACTGGTCACCCTGTATGTAATTTATATTTACCAAAAAGAAGTGGGTCTTAAGAATCAGACTACACTGGATGTACAAGCAGTTTTTAAATCACTAATAAGAACAGGTTCAAAAGAGTCATTCATTTATTCATTGTTATTAATTCACTAAAATGAATCAGCTCATAAAGTTCACTTGTTTGAAAATCGGACTGCATGGTCATGCTGTATATGTTACCGATTCGCACCAAGAAATCAGTTAAAAAAATATTTAATTCAGGAATCGGAGTACACTGCAGATTTCGTGCTGTAAACCACATAAACAAAATGCAGTTATGACAGTTATGGTCCAGTTATGACATTTTGATTAAACAGTACAAAGTAAAAAAAAACAAAAAACATTTTTGGTATTTTTTAAAGATGCAACTGACAGTCAGAATTGAATGTAAAAGAGCATTCACATCAGCTTTAAAACAGCCGAAACTGAGTCAAAAGCACTAAAATAAAAAGGTAGATAATCCTGGGTAAATGTTTCCTTAAACTGTAGATGATTAAATATTGCCAGTGTGGCATGATTCTCATCCTGGAGCATGACAATGACAAAGCCATCTCAATAAGATTTCAAAAATCAGAAAAGACTATCTTCTAAATGACAAGCAAGAGCTATTTCACACTGAACCACCCAAGACTTCTAACAATGGCTTATCCAGCAGTTCTCATTGGGTAAAATCTAATTAAACATGCTTCAAAGGAACAAAAGCCTGACTACCATGAAGCCGCCTGTGCACGTTGAAATGAAAAACGCTATTAGAGCACATGTAAGCTCTTATCAAAGAGTCAGAAAAGGTCATAATATGTTATGGTTTTCAAACAGAGATGTGAAAAGAGGCTAATTTGGAGGACACGTGCACAGCTAGGGTCATATTTAATACATGCGCTTGTCTTGATTATTTTCATGTATGTGCCTTGCAAAATACCTTTATTAGAAGAATACATGTGGCACATGTCATGTGCACGGACATTTGCAGGTCCAAAAGCAGAAGCAACCTGACAGTATGTTGCCTGAGTAGAATATCTAAATGTGTATTTTCACTTGAATCTGGTTTGTCTCTGTTTAGCCAAGCATGCTGACCCTCACTGTTTCCCTCTATCTGTGCCGACAGCCATGGACTCTGCTTCTGCAAAAGGGAATATGTGTTCTGACACAGGCAAGCCCTGCAACCCATGCCTGGATGCCACCAAGGCCTGCAACCTCAACGACACCTGCAAGAAACAACGCACTGCACTCATGGCCACCTGCAACCCTGCAACTCCCATTCAGCAAACTCACGAAACCTGCAACCGAAAACGCTGCCACAGAGGTCTGCGGCAGTTCTTCGACCGCGTACAAACGGAATTCAGCTACCCGTTACTCTTCTGCTCCTGTCGGGATAAAGCGTGTGCTGAACGTCGCCGGCAAACCATCATGCCTGCGTGTTCATATGAAGAGAAGACAAAACCCAACTGCCTTGAGCTAAGGAGGACCTGCCGTTCAGATCCGCTCTGCAGGTAAGGTTATCCCGTCCGGGTCACGGCACCAGAAACGCAACAAATTTCACTAGGGCTTCAACCAAACCATTTTGATAATCGATTAAACGTGTGCATACTCCATAAACTCGGAAGTTTTAAAGTCCCAATGAAATCAAAAATGATTTATTTTTTTGGCTTTTAGTATGAATATGTTAACATTAAGGTTATCTATAAGCTAGTGTGCTCCAAAACCATGACAAAATTCGCATTTAAAAAGATATAAGCTTTCAAAAACCAATATGCATCGATTCTGATGACATCACTCTGCACTTCAGCTTCTCATCAGATTTTCTGTCCAATCAAATGCTCTCTAGAATCTGAAGCGCCCTGCCCCTAACCAGCCATGGCTCGTCTGTATGGGCTATTCATCCAAAACATAGACCTCTATAAGAACTAAATCAATAATAAATTGTATGTGTTCAGCATTCTGCAACAACTATTTTGGGATTTTTCTTAGGACTGCCCTCTATTAGTCAACTAACCTTTAGTCGAATAGAAGAGGTTTGGTCAACCAAAATTGTATTAGTCATTTAGTCGCAGATACTGAACTCCTCAGGATGTGGCGAAATCACAATAACAACAAAACGTTGTGCTTTTGTAAAATAATGGTGCTTTCTGTCTATTCGGTCTCAGTGATCATGAGCGTGTCATAGAAACTAAACGAAACTCAGCGCAACTTGCCTCACAGACATGAGAAATATATCTACACTCTAAAAAATAACCCAACCTTAACCACGCCGCTGGGTCACTATAGGACAGAACACGCGCTGGGTTGGTTTGACCCAAGTGCTGGGTTTTTCCATTTAACCCATATCGTTGGGTCATTCATTTGACCCAACCAGTGGGTGAAATTGACCATCTTGCTGGGTTAAGTCTTACTCATGTGCTGGGTTATTTCCTGTATCATTGCCTTATTAAAATTAGTGACAAATATTTTTTATATTACCATACTAATGTAAAATAATGATTGTCTCTGTAATACAATAAACCAGAGAGGCCACTGTATGTGTGATTTCAATCATTTATTTTATTTTTTTACATTTTTAATACATCTCTTTAATATTTTTTTGTAAACAATTATTACAATTATACAATGTATACTCATTCTAAGGTAAAAAAACATAACGGTTCATTAAGTAAGGTCTTTATACACCACTGAAAACATAGTTATGTATATGATATTGCATTTCTGTTAACAGATCCTCCTAAATACAGTATTACACAATGCACCTTTAAAAGTCAATAAGAAACTAATTTGAACTCTTATACGATTATGATTTCATTTATTAAGATGTGTTGATTTATTAAGAATAGCTACAAACATTTACAATGCGAGTAAATATCACAGGGTTTTCCTCAAATTTGACAGAGGACGATTCTTTTCCATTAATTTGATACACTGCTTCGTGCATTTAACATGAAAAACAAAATAAAACTTTGAAACAAAGATCACCATCCTCTAGCAAAGACTCGGTCGCGATGACGTGGCCTGGAACAATGGCAACGGTCTGACGTGTCCCCCTCGTCGCATCCCTGATGCTCCAATCATTTTGTAAATATTCATCCATGTTGGTCCCCAACTGTTGATTACACACAATCACTTAGAGTGTTGCAATATAACTGACATGCAAGTTTTTTGTGAAAGGATTTATATTTTTTTTATTGCAAACATTACCAAATATGGCCAAATGTGAAAAACAAACAAAATGTATATTTACACATCTAAATAGACAATTAGCAGTCTAAAATAGTCTGGGATTCAGGATAAGACAAAAACACGATTTGGAAAATGGATTCATGATGTACTCGGCTCGCTCATTATAAACATTTTGTAAATTTTGAACACAAAAAAAGTTATGGACTGCAGCTTTAAAAATTTAAAAAAATCTATTTAAAAAAAATGCAATTTTATGTTGCAAACAGAGATTGCACCTTTAAATATTCTAAACCTAAATTAATTTCATAGTTATCAAGCATATCAAACTTACAGGTTGCATGTCAAGGACCTCTGAGCCTCTGTGGTGGGTCTGAAGCCCTTTCCTCCTCTCCTGTAACGTTAGATGGATGGGGGAAGCAGCGTTTGCAAGACCTTCAAAGCCAGCAGCTAAACAATATGAGCATAATACATAAAGTTGCATTAACATTTAAATAGTATGCTGTATATAACAATTCATATTTCTAAAGTAGCATTTCTGACTTTTCTGCCCTGGTGTTTAAAATGGCGCTGTTGTGACAATAGCAAAAACTATTTATTGGCCTCAAACATCGCGCACATGTGCACTTGATCCATGACCACTGTCTTAGTAGTACTAAATTATTCTTAGTAGGCCTACCTCAGGTCCTAACAACTTATAATGGGTTCAGGGCGAGAACATGCTTAATATGAAATCGATTTATTTCTCATTGCCTCAGTCGCCGTTTGTAAAGATTGCACGTCAGACGTCATACAGTTATTATTTGATTTTTTTGGGTAAAAACGATCCTGGTTCCGACATAGACATTACAGAAGAAACACGCAGACTGTGCTGGAACTTCCCCCCGTCGTTTCTTCTGACGAGAATTTCTTAAATGTGCCAGCAGACTTTAGTTTCCACACAGACTAGACTTTTTTCCCGCAGTTTTTACGTACGAGCCCTATAGGGACATAAACATACTGCGCGTGCACGGGTTCATTCAAAACGCTTTCCTCAATTACTAAACGTCCACAATAAATACGATATTTACGTGATGAAATTACAATTTAAACTACACATTTCATTAAGGCTGCTGATATAGCTGGTTTACAACGTGGCATTTTGTCAAAAAAATCTAACCGGCTAGCTGTTACTAATGTTTTACAGAATAAATACGTTATAGCCTACCCCTCGCACTTCCATATCAAAGACTGTGCTGAACAGTGAAATTATTAATGTTAAAAATATTGGTAAACATATTAACTTACCATAAAACACTGCCTGCTCCGACCTCCGAGTGAAGTCCTCCTCGAGTCAGAAGTGAAGAATCCAGAAAGTTCCGCAAAGAATAAACCGGTTGCTGGGTCAAAATAACCCAACCAGCTGTTTATTTGTGAATTACCCCCTTACAACTCATTTGACCCAGCATGAGCAACCCAATAATGTGTTTACAGTGCCCCAAACAACCCAGCATTTTGACCCAGCACAATCAACCCAACAATTTGTTTACAGAAACAACCCAGCATTTTTTTGAGTGTATAGAAAGCTTGAAATGTCTACTTTTGAATGGACAAATTCAAATGGAAAATAAATATTTTCAGATTATGTAATTCATATGAAACATGCGTATAGGCGCGTCCACTAGCTACTGCGGAGATGACGAGTCAGCATCATCGGCTTAATCTCTGCAGCCGAAAAAACAGAAAACATTACCAATAAATTAAAATGTCTCCTTTTTTTCACGACACATTCATAATTATTACATTTGCAAGTGCACTGTGGCAATCTTTATGCATGCGTTTAAGCGCTGATTAGGTATGTGTTTCACGACACATTCATAATTATTACATTTGCAAGTGCACTGTGGCAATCTTTATGCATGCGTTTAAGCGCTGATTAGGTATGTGTTTTTTAAAGGCAGTTAAAGGCTCATTATTTTTATTTATGGCTTAATAATATAAACGCGCGATTAGTCGACTAATTGCTTAAATGAACGACTTCTAGTCGACTAGAAAAATATTTAGTCGAAGCCAGCCCTAGTTTTTCTGTACTATTTTTAGTCGTAACGTGACCAGGATGTATTAAAATTTAGCGCATGGCTTCGGCAGGCATGTATTATGATACTAATAGACATTACTTTCTTTTCCTCAAAGGAACTCCTCCACAACTTGTAATATTCTAAAACAACATTCAATGAGTGCTACTTTAAGGCAATTCTATGTGTGTGTCGTGACTCGTGTATGTCAATCAACATTAGACACTAGACCTCTGCCAAAAGTGTTATATAAAGTAATATAAAGCTTTCAAAATGTGTATCATAAACTAGCGCTAAGACCCAGAATCTGCCATATCTAAATTTCCTGCCAGGTATCGCTACTGCCCCCTACACTATACATAGACACTAGGGGTGGAACGGTACATGTATTCGTATCGAACCGAAACGGTACGGGCGCCACGGTTCGGTGCACGAATTTACACGGAGAATACACGGTATAAAAATAAATAAAACTCGCGTGCAAATTAATTAATGTAATGCGGAACTACTGTTAGATACGCGGGTCAGAGACTATTTATATAGAGACATGCCACTTCCTCAATCCTCAATACAACTATATAGGGAAAACCTGTAACGTCAAAGATGGCGGTTGTATGCATATGTCCCGCCCCTCCCGCTGGAAAGCCAATCGTCTGCTTTTAACAGTCAAGCCGGGAAACATTTAAGCCTATCGTCTGGTTCCACTGACGCATGCGCACAGTTGAGGTTTGCGACAGCGGAGACGATTTGGCGACAGCGAGTTGTTTTGTGCCATGGTGTTGTGTGCAAGATCAGATGGAATCCACATGGAAGAGGGTGATAACAACGCGAAAACACCGGACTACCAAGGTAGTTGTGGCGAGCAGGCCGAGGACGAGGGACGTGAGAGAGCTGCGTGAGGCCGGTGGCGTGATTACTGATGAGCGGCACCTGCGCGACGCATCGTCTCGTATCTCTCACGGAGGAGCGGAGGCATAAAAGGTGGAGCGACGACATGGAGATCGAGAGAGGAACAGGCCTGATTTTATGTTGTGTTTTGTTTCTGTTTTGTGTGGCCAGCAGCTCATCCGGGGCTGCTGGCATACTTCCATTTTTGGATTTGTTTATTTATTAAAATGGTTGAATGTTCGCCGGTTCCTGCCTCCTTCTTTCCATAACATCTGAACCTTGTTACAGTAGTTAAAGCATTTTATATCGACCACAAATATGTTACCTTACATTCTAAGTATGTGCTGTAGAGCACGACACCGGCATTCTGGATAGAGACGTAA